AGGGTTGCCAAATATCTGCAGAAAAAAATGAAATTAAATTAAAATAAAAATATAAAAAAAATTAAAATAAAATATAAAAAAAATTAAAAAAGATGAAAATAATAAAAATAATAAAAATAAAATTCTAAATGATCTTTTTATGTCTGTACGTTTTTTGTGAAACGCATGTACATACAACATACACATTCGCGGCGTGAGACGTTTCAACTGAAAAGTAATGCGTCGATATTTGTGAACTTTGGTGCCGCATTGTATTTTTCAAGTAGTCCGAGTACGAGTAATGGATTGTTAACAAAACACGTGCTTTTTGCCTAATGAACTTCACACCCATACACGCACATGTATGTATGTATGTATATATGCAGGTGTATTTACAGAGTTGTAAATAGCGGCGTCATTCTATTTGCAATGCTCTTAACAACAAACAACACAAAATACTCATACTTATAACGGAAATGGCATTAACAAGGAGGATAATTGTTATTTGCATAAATAGACACTTAAGCAAACTGAATAACTGCTATACGCTTACACGGCACTCTGATTATAAAAAATTATAATTATTGCAATGAAAACAACAACCACCATTAATATTATATTTTACTCGTACTTCGTCTACCAATGGGGCAGAACGCGGAGCAATAAAATCGCTCGTCTTAAGATTTCAAGAAAGTAAACAAATAGACGAAGAACAAGTGGCATTTCGCCTTCATTCATGCCTTCATTCATACATATGTTTGTCATGTACATAAGTACTGCACATATCTATTCATATTTGTGTAGGCAGACTTCCGAATGGCACTAAAGCACATGGTGACATACACACATATGTATGTATGTATATACTCGTACACACAAACAGAAAATCAAGTCAATTAGAAAAGTACACAAACGGTAAATTTAATAGCGTGAGTTAAGAAATTATATGTATGTATATATGTATGTGCATACATAACTACGTACATATGAATATTTAAGTGGCTTTTGTTTATCAATTAATATTGGATGCATTAAAACAAAAGTAAAGTCGAAATAGAGCAGAGTAAAGAGTTGTAAGTCAATACAAGAAGTTATCTAAATCCACGAAGAAATGTTATTAAAACAATTATTTATATATTTTATTTGTACATATTTATAAAACTCAGTTGAATTGGAAATAAATGTGTTTAAGTGCTGAAGTAATTGCAATATCGACCCAAAAGCGGGTTTCCTAATAACGCCTTCAAAAGACAATTGAAAAATATTTACATACATACATTTTTTTTTCATAATTCCAAAAGATATTTATTAAAAATAATTTTATTATTGCTAATTTCGAAGACAAGATCGAAGAAATTAAAAAAAAATTTAACCCAAAAGTCATTTTTTAAATGAAAAATATCAAATACCGTACTAAAAAAAAGTTAAAAGTTACGCTTTGTATTATTTATATTAAATTACTTTTATTTATAGTGTTATAGTTAGAAATATGTAAGAAAATCTTTCCTTTCTCCTTTTTATTCCATTTTGTTTCGAACTGAAAAATATTTTTTTTGTTTGTTACTCTAACTTTTGAATTAAAAAAAATGTTTCATATATCAATTTTTAATTTTGAAAGTTAAATGTTGAAAAGTCAACTTGAATTCCAAGATCGGAATCGAAAGCTTAAATATTGAATATTATTTAAATTTTTTGTAAATAGAATTAGCAAGCCTTCGCGCAACTGACTCAGATTCCTAGTTGTAATTAATTTGGCAATCATATTCATAAAAAAGCTCTCAACTTAAATACATATATACCTTACCCATACGAACACATAATTTATGTAAATTGTAATTCCAATCTTCAACACTCACACTTACCGGTTTTTTAGCCGCCAAAGGTTTGCTAATTAAATTCAAATGTGGCTCGAATTCTTCGCCGAATTTTTCTATCAGACTATTCTCGGCAGCCTCTTGAGGGCATTCCTCTTTTTGCACCAGATCCCAAACATCCTCCGGCAAATAGAAACTCAGCGCCAAACCCACGAGTATGCCGAATACGAAGTAGTGATTTCGGCTAAGCGCTGATCTACGCATGATCAGTTTTGTAAAATTTTAAAATAATTAAATCCAATTGGCACGGCAGTGTGCTGCAGTAAAACAGCTGATTGATGGTGAACAGGGCAATAAGGAGGACTATCGGAAAGGAGCAATAGCAGCAATTTGAAAGCACAATATGGTTAGCTAACTGTAACTATTTAAGGTGTCAAATGTTGGGTGTAAACATCATCTTGACGAAGAACAATTAAAGACTGCACTATGGGTATGTGTGTATGTAGTAATTTATTTTTGCTGCTGTTATTGGTGATGAGCTGTTGTTGCTGTCAGCAAAGTGTGCGCTATCACTTTTGTATCTGCAGCTTGGTGAACGCCAGCGCAAGATGTTGATCTGGCAATGAAGCTTGCCACTTGCTCCACGCGTTGCACCACACGTACGCACATATGCATATAATTATCACGCTGTAACACAAACACACGCGCAAGTAGCGAACCACGCACGCAACAGGCGAAGAAGCATTCAAACCGGCAGAGGCAAACCGATCGACAAATCAGCAGACAAAAACACGATACACATTAAACAGCCAATTGTATGCGCCAGCAAAAGATATTTTGCCGATTCTTTTTCTGTCACGCCACTCTTTACACACTTTTTATTTTGCAAAATCGTAATTTATTTATTTATTTTTTTTTTGTGTCACTATTTACATGTGCTGCTTCTTATTTATTCGTTAATTTATTTATCTTTTAATTTTTTTTCTAATTTTTGGCACAAACACAAGCATAATACTCTGCACTGATCGACGGTGCTCGATAAATCACGTTTTACCGGTGTTTTGCCGACATATTCCATTCATATTTCATAGCACGCTTTATTTCATTCAATGGCAAGCTTAGAACAACTGATTAAATTAATTTAAAAATCAGCATTAATTAACAGCAAACGAGGCAACAACAACAAAAGCGCACGGCAAATAATAATCAAAAATTTAATGCCAAAGAAATCGCGACATGCCGCTCGTAAAACACAACCGCACTCCACAACAGAATTAACAAATCTATTCACCAGCGAGGTGAATAACACAACACTGTTGTTGTTTTTTTTTTCTTCTTTTCATTTGTAGTTGCTTCAAGCACGTTCAAGCATGCAGGGGTGAGCGACATCCGTCGGTGGTCGGCAATACTAGCATTGGCAAATCGGAAAACGATCTACAACGATTTACAAACAAAATAATTTTTAACTGTGCAATATACATGTCAAAGCATGCCTATTTATTCGTTAAATACAAAATTAAATTTGTTATACTGACGATTAATATAATTTGCTTAATAAAAATACAAATATATTTGCATTTTCTTTTTAGATAATTCTAAGAGGAAATGTACGCTTCGCTCGCATATTCAAGACAACAACATCTACTGTGGCGGCACCTGACATGCGCTAAATGTAGCACAAAGTAGGCGACATCTTGTGTGCCTTTTCGTTCAAAAATCAACTTGGCAGCACCGCGGAGAGCTAGTCATGTATTAGCAGAGAACGAAAAATATTAGTTTTTCTTTCACATCATTTTGTCGCGGACGGGGAAAATTTTTGGTCGCAGTGAAATTGATAGTTTTTTGTTTTGTGAAATTCTAATTGGAAATTAACAAGAACTAAATAAAATCAACTAACAGTGTTGAATGTGAGTACATTTAAGTTGGTCAAGTGTGTATTGGTGATTTGAATTTTGCAGGAAATGCAATGAAAATTTATCAGCAGGCTCCAGAAAAAATTAGCAGAAAGTTGAAGTTCGAAAAACGCAACGGTGAATGAGAAGAAGCACACAAAAGATACATTTTAGGACAGGAGATTGGATTTTCCTTTACTTAACTGTGGTGGTGCGAAGGGACATTTTCGAAAATTACAGGCCCCCGCCTGCCCCCTTTCGTAGGGTGGTTGACTGGTGTGTAGTGACTGCGACTGAATATGCTAGCCAACGGTTGCTTGGTGGTTGCCGAATGAAATATGGGTTGCGTGGTGCCTCACATATACATATGTACATACACACATACATACATAGCTGCAAGCAATCGCATGTTGTTTGTGTGTTTGCCAGTAGGAGAACAGCCCATAAGCTGGGTTAGGTGGGTCGTTAAAAGCAGAGTTAGTCAGTCAGGAATTTTTCAATGCTTCCCAATTTTGTGTGCGCATACCCAGTGAGCGCAAGGATTAAAATTTTACTCGCGCAATGCAGTGACCTGGATGTGGTTGTTAATATTGCGAGTGGGAGAAGAAGTAGCACATATTGGTGTATAGCGATATGCGCACAAATTACCGTTGCCTTTATATTTGCTTTTCATATTCTTGTGTTGTTTTTATTTTTTTTTTTATTTTACTTTTGCTACTTATTGCAGTGCTTGTTATTGTTTACGAGTACAAGCACGAACAACGTTTCATAGAAGAAAAATGGAACAAGCAGCAAAAAATGTCTGGGCTGACCGCATAGGTACATAGTAGTACCGATATTGAAACGAAAGTAAGGCAATACAAGCAGGTAACAGGTAATAATGTTTTAAGGAGCTACAATGTGACAACACAATGGAAAGCAGGACAACACTTTACTAGTGTTGTGGGTAAAAATTGGCTGAAATGTGTGCATTTCGGCAGCGCGTTGTCAAATACAATATTATTACTGCTGCACAAATGATTTTCCACGAACTTTTTCATGTCCATATGTGTAAAAGCATATGTGTGTGTGGGTCAAAAAATTTTAATTACAAATATTTCTGCTAAGCACCTAGTTGCCTACATACAGATATGTACTCGTGCCTGCGTTTATTGTGGCGTTGAAAAAGTGGCTGCCACCAAAGTAAACGAAAGTTTGTGCGAAAAATGTCGGTGAAGTAATGCTTTTATGGCCCCAAAGTACATACTTTAATACGAAAAAATATATGTAGATATACATTTAATGTGCACACACAAGCGCACATACTCATTTTTGCTAAATGTATGGCACTACATATGCGGGTACGAGTAACTGTGCTGAGAATTTGGCATGAATACAAATGTGCTGCTTCTGCTGCTGCTATTGTAGGCATTGGCGAGTAGAAATTAAGCAAAGCGTATCGTTAAATAACTGCAGAAATTAACAACAGCACTAAAAATAAAAAACAAAAATAAAATAAAGTAAAGTAAAACTAGAAAACTAAACTAAATACTTGTGAAAATTTTTCAAACAAAATACAAGACACAAAAAACAACAAAAAAAAAACGAAAAAAATTAGCATTTTTTTTCAACCTTGCTGCGTTGTGGCCGTAGTAAGTGTTGCTGCTACAACACGCTAAAAATAGCAGGAATATTAGAAAATCAAACACGGTTTGGCTCAAGTTAATGGCGCTATATAGTAAATTTGCGTTAGAAGAACAGGAGTAATGTGCTTTTTTTTAATTCAAATGTTTTATAACTTCCCATTCCGTCATACGCGCTGCTTCCAGGTAAAAGGTGTGCATATGTAACCACATACAGCCATACTTAGCTATAAATAGTATTGAAAGCAGCAACAGCTATGCAAATATCGCAGTTATTTGCTAAGGTCGGGTGTAAATATGTATGTATGTGTGTGTGTATACAAAAGCTTATCGGCAGCTCTGAAGTCGCTTCGATATCCATGTACATACATACATATATACATACATATTATGTATAGAGTAGTGTATGCTTTTACGTGTTTTGAATATTTTTTACGCATTCGAAAGCAACAAGTTTGATAATTATGCTGCGCACTGATAAACTTTTATGAAACACCGAAACCAGTTTATCAAATTAGCTTGGCACTGACGCGTATATTCCTACTCTACTCTGAAAACGTGTGGATTTCCGATGCTTACTTAGCTTTTTTTTGTTGTTTTTATAGTATTATTTATTAACTTTTTAGCGTTAATACGTAGATATTTTGTAAAAAAAAAAAAGAAAAAATGTTAACTTTGGTTGCACCGAAGCTAAATACCCTTCACATTTGCATTTATGTTAGTAACTATGTGGTAAGTATGGAAGCTATATGCTATAGTAATCCAATCTGAACAATTTTTTGGAGATTACATTGTTGCTTTAGAAAATCATCTATACCAAAGTTCTTGAATATATCTTGTCAAATGTGGAAGTTTACCAAACAAGCCCTTGATTCCGATCGTTCAGTTTGCATGGCAGCTATATGTTATAGTGGTCCGATATCGGCAGTTCCGACAAATGAGCAGCTTCTTAAAGAGAAAATGACGTGTAGAAAATTTCAAAAGGATATCTTAAAAACTGAGTGACTAGTTCGTATATATGTATACAGACAGACAGACAGACGGACATGGCTAAATCGTCTCAGTTCAACATACTGATCATTTATATATATACTTTATAGGGTCGCCGACGCTTCCTAATGGGTGTTACAAACTTCGTGACAAACTTAATATACCCTGTTCAGGGTATAAAAATGTATGTGATGGTACACACATACATATATAGTTACATATGTATAGTTTTTATTTTTAATTTGAGATACGAAGAGTAAATTTTTGTATTTTTATACCCCTGAAAAGGGTATTTTAAGCTCGGATTAACTATAAGTCAATTTAGCCATGTCTTTCCGTCTTTCGGTCATGCTTTGAGATATCAATCTGAAATTTCGCACCCGTGCTTTTGTCTTCAAGGAACTGTCAATACGTTAAAACCACCGATATCGGTTGACTATAGCATATAGCTGCATTACAAACTGTTCGGCCAAAAGTAAGTCCTTGTATGGAAAACTATTTTGTTTGACAAAAAATCTTCATGACATTCCGCAACAATTATTGTCTAAAATAATACCTTAATTTCCGAAGAAATTGCTTTGATCAGAAAACTACATCATATAGCTGTCATACAAACTGCTCGACCAAAATGAAGTCTTTGTACGGAAAACTTTTTTATTTAACAAGATATCTTCCCGAAATTTTATGTAAATTATTTTCCAAATCAACGTTATTACCTCCGAGCAAATTGTTCAGTTCGAACTACAATACCATATAGCTGCCATACAAACTGACCGAACAAAATGGAGGTAAAGGGATTTTTATACTATGAGAAATGCACATGTGAAGGGTGTTATAGCTTCGGCGTAGCCACAAATTTCTAAAATCCAAATTCCTCGCCAACTTATTTAGTTAAATACAATTAGATTAATTCGCTCAACAAATAGCGTTATCTAATATTTTTATCGCAACAATCTTCAAGTTAGTTAAAAAAAATATATGAAAATTAACGCTCAGCGGAGATGAAGCGCAAATAAAACGTTTAGACACTTTTTTATTGCCTTTATACTTTGATAAGTGTGTTTCGTATTGATTTTTGCACAAATAAGCAACAGGCAAGAAGCAAAAAAGCGCAGAAATTTGATAAGCACGTTAAAAAAGCTTGAAATAATTAGCTAGCAAATAGCAAAATTCCAAACAGTTTTGACAAACTTCTGTCATTTTGGCTCAGACTTTTGAATAAAGCCACTCGATTAGCAAAATAGCCGCAAAATAGTTTTATTAGGGTGACATTGCGTGTGTATGCGCAAATAAGTGAATAGATGTATGTATGCTTGTATCATGTTGAAAAAATAGTTTAGTTAAAACTTTCTATCTACAGCTGTTCTAATAAGCGAGTTTTTGTTTTAAACTAAAAAAAATTCGATTTTACAAAGCGGTTAGTATGCCACTAATAAACGCTTACCCGCTGCGCGTTGACGGTGTTGTCTCATTTCGAATCGTCTTACAACGCGCCAACAGCTTTTGTTATTATTTGTATTTAAAATAAGTGCATATAAAACAGTACGCTCGCACATAACAACAACCACCGTGACATGCAAGTGAACGCACACACATACATACAAACGTACATATGTGCTGTATGTACTAGATATTTCGCCAGAACGTTGGCCACCCAACTTCCCACTAACGTGTCAGCGTTGGAATGAGCACAGCTAAACAAGTAGCTTACTAAATTTGCACTAGTATAGGCACAAGGAATATACATAATAT